TTTGTGAGGTGGGGCGGGGAGCAGGAATTCGGTAGGAGAGATTTCTAAATCTGACCAACTTCAAAATACATCCTAAAATGAAAGACATCACAACTAGGTGAGATTTTAATTAAAAAAATAAAATATAGGACAGTGAAATAAACCAGGGATTCCAGAAATAAATTCAGTTTCTCAGGAGCCAGTTATGTGACAACTGGGGAAATGAGAGGGACAGTGTTGCCTTTTACCACCTGCTTCTGAAAAAGACAGGGAAGTTTGTATATAGATTACTTCCGGTCTGTATTCTATACCGTGCACCTTACACTCCCGCCAAATAAAGAGTTAAACATGAAAAAACTTAGAAGTAAATCAGTGAAGTAGATTAGAATATTTATTTCAACTGTAGAGATATTTATTTCTGTAGAGAAATTTAGAACAATTTTCAAGCTGCAGTTGAACTGTTTAAGAATTATTCTTAAGGACCAGGTAAAAGGTTTAGCGGTATTAACTTTTTTAAAAGCTGCATAATGAAAAATAAAAGATAAAATGGAAAGCAGCACTGGGAAATTGTGGTGAATATAAATAAAAGCTTAACATTTCAAAATGTATAAAATTTACTTAGTACCGAGTTCTTACTAGACAAGAGATCGATTTTAATTCAGCCAAATGGCTCTTACATAAATAGTGAAGGAAGCACCAAGAGCAGCTGTCAGGGTTGTCAAAGAGCTCTGTAAGCCCTGTGAGACCCATAAAGTTACTTTGACTAAGGGAATGAAGGACAATTTCTTAGAAGAGGTAAGGTGTGAACAGAGCCTTCTTTGGACAGCTGTTGGAAGACTGGACAGCAATAAAAGTAATGCAGACAGAGAATAACTTTACAGTGTTAGAGAGGTGGGGCAACTAAAAGCAGACCCTCAGAACAAATGGTAACCTGGCAGGGTAAGCAGGAAGGAGGATGGAGGGTGGTGCTAAATGCAGGCTTCAGCATCCATCCGATGGACAGCCATTGGAAGTGTGGCGCTCAGATGATAATCTGATTTTGTGCCCAGATCTGAACCTGAGATGATCAGTTGGACTGTGGTGTGTAGGATAGATTGAAAAGTGAGATCACAGTTGGGGAGAGCAGCTATACTCAAGGTGAGAGGTGACGAGGGCCCAAACCAGGGGAGGATGGCTGGGAGAGACATTGCAAAAGGCAGAAGGGCACGGTCTGGACCCTAAGGCATACTTTGGGATTTAAGCTGGAGTAGCAGGGTCTGCATGCTCTCCCCAGGGCCTTATGGGCCTTTGCTCTATGCTCTCATTGGCCTGTGTGAAGGCAGTCTGAAAAACAGTCCTATGGAATTTGTCCCAGGCCATATTCATGCTCTTCTGCAGTGACTTCTTTATGAGAACCCTTGGGAGAAATTTCTGGGTTTGGTGTTAGAATTTCATCTGAAGAGTTAGTTTACTTTTACATTTTGGACACCCAGTTATGTGATTATTTTTGTCTTAGTGATGATTGCTAGAAAGTTTAGTTAGAGACAAAGGTATGGGTTGACTCCACTAATTTCTGTATCTTCAAGGACTACATTTTTCTGTTGTTCCTAGCTCCATTTTGTGTTTCTCTCCATGTTTTGTTTTTCATCTGGTTAATTGTGCTGAACTGTGTTTATATTTTATGTAGACTTTATTCTTTAGAAGAAAATAAGGTATAAATATACATATTATACCTAAATAATCAGTAAACCTAAAGGAAAATTATAAAGCCCAGTGTTGTAGGGGCCATGGAGAAATAAACACACATATATGGCTAATGGCTGGACATTGGAGTTTCTGAGGATTGTATCTAGCAGTAGATACTTAGAGCTATAAAGTTGTTCATATTTATTAAACTGTCAGTGTCACTCTTGAAAATGTATCACAAAGAAATAACCCAAGAGAAATAGTCCACACAATTATTTATAGCTGCAGTACATAATAGTGACAAAGAGAGAAGGAACCCAAATGCACAGTGGTAGACTGGTTAAGTAAATCGTTTAATATAATGGAATGTGAGAAAGCCACGAGAAATGACAAAGTAGATCAGATAAATAGAAATGTACATAAACATGTAAATTGTCAAAATATGCATTACACCCACATAAGAATACACACACACACACACACAGAGAAGTAAGAGGTCATGGGAGTTGTAAATAACTTTAAAGGATAGGTTTTTCTCCTCTGCAGAGTTCATATAATTGGTAGGTACTTTTTGAGATTAGCACCAAAGAGTGGGTTTTGGAAACTTTGTAAAATTTAGAGCTTTATGCATGATCTTTCTTCAGCTACCAAGTAGCCTCTTTGTCCCTTTGTTTCAGGATTTAAGCATTGAGGAACAGTCAGAGTGTACTCAGGATTTTTACCAGAATGTGGCTGAAAGAATGCAGACTCGTGGAAAAGGTAATGCTTTGTTAGCCAGCCATAAAAGGATTGCTGGTAATTGTACAGAGTCTGACTGCTGTGTCTGTTAGAACTTTCTCTGTTTCTCTGATGGCCTGGCTGTTTTGCCAACTCTGTCCTATAAACAACTCCACTGACATTCTGGTAGCTGGTCTTATCCTTAGAGGGCCTTTGAATACCACCGTGTGCATCACTCCAAGATGATCACAGCAGTTGGGTAATTTATTGAACATTGTTTAATAATCCCATTGGGGTAGGGGCAGAATCCATTAAAACCCCTTAGGATGCTTCTAAATGAAATGCCCATCTTGGAATCACCATTTTGGTGAGTCATTTTTCATGATTATGTATTCCTCAGATTGGGTGGGGGGGAATGAGAATCAGACTTAGAGCTGTTTCTATTATTTGTTTGTTTGTTTGACAGAGAGAGGGACACAGCGAGAGAGGGAACATAAGCAGGGGGAGTGGGGGAGGGAGAAGCAGGCTTCCCGCTAAGCAGGGAGCCTGATTCGGGGCTCGATCCCAGGACCCTGGGACCATGACCTGAGCCAAAGGCAGACACTTAACGACTGAGCCACCCAGACGTCCCTAGAGCTGTAGGTTTTTAGAGAATTGTCTGGAATTTGACTTCCATTGATGTTGGGTTTTAGGATATACTTAGCATAGATGTCTATCTGAGAAATAAGCCCCACCTGTGCGTCTCTTAAGAGCTCCCCAAGGTTGTATAGTAAACCTCAGAAAAATGAAAGAGCGATTGCCATCATTCTCAGTCTTGGGAGTTTCAGGTGCTTCTCTAATGTAGCAGTGCGGAGTGACCCACGCTGCGGTGTTCCCACGTGGCAGGGCGTACAGCTGTTAGGTCCTGCCCAAACAGTTTCAGTTAGAAGTGGTGATTCTGTGAAAGGCAGTCCCAAAAGTTGAGGTAAATTTTTAAAGGGTATTTTTTTATGTAACATCTTATACTTTTATTTCTGGGTATATTTAATGCATTACTAGTAAATTAGTTTTCTGCTACATAGGAAAAGCTATGAAGACATACTCCTAAACTGTCCATCCTTCTCTTGAGAGCTTAGCTTTTATGTCCATTTGGATATTTCAGTGCCTTCAGAAAGAGTTGAGAAGATAATGGATCAGATCGAAAAGTACATCATGACTCGTCTCTATAAATATGTGTTCTGCCCAGAAACTACAGATGATGAGAAGAAAGATCTCGCTATTCAAAAAAGGATCAGGTAGTTGGTTGTTTTGCTTTGTCTTGTATTTACTACCTACCATCAGGAGAACACGTTGTGGGTCAACAGGACACTTGCATTTCAAACCTTGACAGCAACTAACATCAAAGGTACCCACCATCCTTAGCATCTCAGCTTCTTCATGGTGTCGGAAGGAAAAGGACTATGGTAAATTGATAGGAGGAAAGGGCTGAAATCACCTTCTTGCTTATGCATCTGACTCCAAGCAGCTTTAGATAAGAAGCAGATCTGATGTTTGAGATTGTTTCAAATCTCCAAAATTTCCAAGGAACGGGAGGAAATTTCATTATTTTCTCATTTCATTATAATGTCTTGTCAGGCAAGAAGCTGTGAATATCCATAGAAGGCAGTAGGGGTCATTATTCCTCCTCCCTACCAGGGGTGCTTATTATTTAGCTGTTCCTCTGATCACATCTTCCCACTTGCACTGGGTTGATAACACTTCCCAAAGCACTCCATCTTCCCTGGGCGGTAGAGTGAGCCCCAGGGCTCTGTATTCCAATGGCAGCAAAACCTTTAGGAAATAGGCCATCTAAATGTGGGAATGGGTCCAAGACTGGTCATGCTAAGGTGCTTCTGGAAGAGGGGGCCTAGGAATCCAAACAGGATTCCCCGACAATGGGGCTGGTAATGGTAGATCTCTTCTTGATGGTGTCACACCAGAAGCGAGGAGTTGGTATTAGGAAGGTTGCACATGGAGCCCGAAGGAACTAGATGGGCTTTGGACTGATGTGCATGGTGAGAGCATTCGTCAGGCAAGAATCTCTGCTGTGAAGATAGGGTGTGACCAGGAAACTCAGGGATTCAGATTGGGTGACACATGCTTGTTGACCTCTTACACAGCCTCTAGTGTGCCTCAGAAGTTGAAGGCAGAGCCTAAATGGACATTATGGTGATGGACAATGAAGAGAGGGAGCAGCAGATTCTTCTCAAATCTTCAGTCTTTTCAGCCTCAGTATAATCTCATTTCAACCAGTAAAATTGTCTTCTGCTTTTCTTGTGATAAGAGAAGCCTCATTTTAGGATTTTGGTCACTTCATCTGAGCTCCTAATATGTTTAGAGGCAGTGTGCTGGTTCCTAGGATTGCCTCATTAGTCAGCGGTGCCCCATATTTCTCCTTTACTGAAGGAAATGACAAGACAAATGACTGTGGTCCATTCTTGGAATTTTTTTTTACTGTCTCTCCCTCTTTGTAGAGCCTTGCACTGGGTTACACCTCAGATGCTTTGTGTCCCTGTTAATGAAGAAATTTCAGAAGTATCTGATATGGTGGTGAAAGCAATCACAGGTCAGTGAAATGGAGAGCTTTTTTATCTGGATGTTTCTCCCTTGAAGTTAACATAAATCCATATGAGACAGCAAAATATTTCTAAAATGCAGACTGCCAAAGACATATTGAAATGCAGTAAAAGCAGTTTATAAGTGGGCTAGTTTTATGAATTTGAAGCATTCATTTTAGCAGGTGAACTACATTTCCCCTTTACTTTCTGTGACCAGGGTCTCTTATTTCTTGGGTATTGAACTAAACTAAGGTCAAATGCAGCTAGGGCAAATTTCTTTCCTTTTTTTTTTTTTTTTAGAGAGAGAGAGAGTATGTGACTGGGGCGGGGGGAGGGGGAGGAGGGGCAGAAAGAGGGAGAGAGAGAGAATTTCAAGCAGGCTCCATGCCCAGCGCAGAACCCGACATGGGGCTTGATAATGACCTGAGCCAGAAGTCAAGAGTAGGACGCTTAACCAACCGAACCACCCAGGCACCCTAGCTAGGGCAGATTTCTTTTTTTTTTTTTTTAAGATTTTATTTATTTGACAGAGAGAGACAGCAAGAGAGGGAACACAAGCAGAGGGAGTGGGAGAGGGAGAAGCAGGCTCCCTGCCGAGCAGGGAGCCCGATGTGGGGCTCCATACCAGGACCCTGGGAGTATGACCCGAGCCGAAGGCAGACGCATAACGACTGAGCCACCCAAGTGCCCCAAGCGCAGATTTCTTAAAACTCAGTTGCATTTATATATTCAAAATAATTTTGGAGGAAGGAAGGGAATTGATGGGGCATGGTAATCCCCTGCTACAGTTACATACTAAAACAATATCTCTCTAATTGGTTGTTAATCAGAGATGTACTTTGGATTATTTTTCTGGTTTGTTTAAGGTGTAAATGAAGTGCCCTGAACTGATGTGGCTCCACCATCCTGGACAGGTCCAGGCACCTGATAAGGTTTCTGTTTCTTATTCATAGGAATAGCTCAGCAGAAGTATACCACAAAAGTTAAAAACAAAGAAAAAAACAGAACCAAAACAAATTCCTCCTAATGGAGAGGATACCCAACCTTGGCCAGCTTCTTCTTAATTAAGAAGAGTTGGAAAGACTTTCCTGTTTAGAGTCGTTAATGAAATTCTGCTGGTAAAGAAAGTTGGTCAGCTGCTGTTGGCAGTGGCCAGGGGCAAGCCATTAAGTAGGCTCCTTTGGTTATAAGAACTAGAGACTCATGTTACAGGAAGAAAGGAGGGTTTGCTTATCAAGGTAGGAAAGGAAGCAGGACACTCACAGAAACTTAGCTTCACGGCCCCTCTAGGGACTGGGTCATCTGCTCTTAACATGATTCTTCCACTCTCTCAGGTTCTGCTTCTCTTTGCATATCTTTGCTTTTTAACTCCTTTATTAAATGAATTATTTGCTGTAATTCCGCTTGCAGAGTCTGGCCTAGCTAAATACTGTTATCTTTGTTGTTCAAAGCTTTTCTGCAAGGCTGTGTTGTAGGTTTCATGAATTGACTCCTTTGGGTCAAGGCCCACTCCCACTCCCACCTTTTGCTCAGGGAACGTCATAAGAGATTGAAGGTGAGAAGCCTGGATATGGGCCTTGTACTTGTGTTTTTTTCCGAAGACTCTTGCCAAGTTCAAGACCAACTGGTTTATGTTTAAAGTACTTCATAGAAATTTATGTCTGGGACTCTTTTCTGAAGTGCCATAGGATAGACCTTGTAAAACCAGAAACTACAAGAACCAGACCATTGTTTGCTTAAAAATAGAACTAAGAGGACTTGAGTATATCAATAGTTTGTTAATAGATTTTGAGGGGTGAAACTTTTCTCAAATCATCTGAGTTGGAGTTTGAAGAGATGTTTTGATAGTAGAAATTTGGCCACAGAATTATAAAGGCCTTCTTACTTTTTCTCATCTTAGCCCCCATATCTTGCCAATCCGAGTGCAGATACATTCTGTGAGGGTCAAAGGTCATATGATCACTTTCTTCCTTGTTAGCCTAAGTACAGGAGCAACCAGAGAGGACAATGTATAACAGTGGTCTTAAAAATGGAGACATCAGTTAAATTTCTCAAAATCATCCCATGTGCTACTAATCAGCACTGTCAGTTTTGTTGATAAATACACTGAATGAGGCATTTTCCATTTCAGTTGACATCTCTCATCTAGTAGGTGGAGGCTAGGGATGCTGATAAACATCCTTCAGGACAGGACAGTTCCCTACAAAAAAGATGATACAATCTAAAATACTGTTTGGTGCCAGCGTTGAGAAATCATGACTTAGAGGGCTAGCTTACTTTGTTTTCAAAACTTCATTAAAGATAAAACCAGACTTCTGCCGAGATGGAGTACCCACACTCAGCCCATTATTCCTACTGATGACACGTAAAAGCCCTGGACGGCAGACACACAGCAGTTAGCTGAGGACTGTGAGAAGTAAGTGACAGCAGGAGGCAGACTAGGGCGGGAAATCATTACTGGAAGAATTAATACAGTGAGGGGTTTCCTGTTAGGTTATTTTCTCCGGGATCTCCTCGTTTAGGCTTTCAGGCAGTGCAAGTCATGGAATTAACTACACGTGGTGGGGGGTTCAAAAGCGTTCCCCCCAAAAAACTTCTTTCAGGCTTAAAGGATGCTAGGAAGTTAAGGGTCGCTGTAGGACAAAGAGTGTGGGAGAAATCTCCACCCCCCCCCCTTTATTCTTTTTTTTCCTTCCCTTCTCTTCCTTTTTACACTCTTGGCCCTCCCTCCTGGCATTGGCAGCTACACATGCTTCCAGATAAAGAGTAATTCATTTTTTATTCCCTTTAATACTTAAAGGATAAACTTTTTTTTTTTTTTTTAAGATTCTTATTTATCTATTTAACAGAGATAGAGAGCACAAGTAGGCAGAGCGGCAGACAGAGGGAGAGGGAGAAGCAGGCTCTCCGTCGAGCAGCGAGCCCGATGCGGGACTCGATCCCAGGACTCTGGGATCATGACCTGAGCCAAAGGCAGCCGCTTAACCAACTGAGCCACCCAGGCGCCCCTTAAAGGATAAACATTAATGAGAGAGTGGCTAAAAGTTTAAAGAATAAAAACCAGTAAAAGTCTTATCCCCAAATCTCTTTTGTAATTTGTTCTGCTCAAATAGAAAAAGAAAATGAAAATAGACTGAGACACACTAACAATAATTACAACCCATAATTAAAAGATTAAAGGAACTAAACTATAAAATAAGCAAAAGCACACAATAGACATGTGAGTTCAGAAAATGAAAGCATTAGTAAGTTAAAATACGGCCTCCGCACTGTCCCCCGCACACTACTCTTCCATGGCTGGTGGTCCCGTGAGGGTTCCCCCGGGAGCCGACCTCAGGGATGGGAGCTGGGAGCAGAAAGAACTCCGATGTGCACCACCACCCTGCCTCAATTGAAAACTTTTACTCCCGCTATTGGCCAGAAATTGCTGTCAAATTAACCTGCCTCAGCTGTTTCTTTCATGTTGGTCCAGATTATAAGCAGAAATGTGCATCCAAGGGCACTCTCCCTCCTTCCTCTTGTATTGTTCTAGTGATGCGGACAGCTATTCCTCACCACCTCCTAGTCTTTGTGACACAGGGTGTGCATTTATGAGAGCCTACCACTTAGTGGTAGTTAGGGACAGTAAAGTAATTTTTTTCTGAGGGAAATGAATGGTATTCATGAGATTAAATTTTATATCCTTGCTTTATCCCCTGTGCTAACCAGTAGGTTATAAATGCAGTAAAGGTTCTGTAGATGTTTATAGTTGGTGGGGATTTATATGCCACGGGGACTGGCCGCTGTAGACCTACATGGGATAGATTTCAGCAGCTGTATTTTGATACCCAATACAATGATGCTTTGTATGATACCCACCTTTCTAAAAAGCAGTACGCTTTCTAAACTGAGTTTTACAGTGTATTAGAGGAACAGAAGCAAGAAAAAAACTCTTCTCCAAGGAGCTCATAAGCAGTTTAACATCGTAATTGAAAGCATGGGTTTTAGAGTCAGATAGACTTCGTTTCAAATCCTCCGTTTGCCACTTGCTATCTATATAATTTTGGGCAAATTATCAAACTTCTCTGAACCTCAGTTCCCTTCCTAATAGTAGTACCCATTGTACAATCTGAGAATGAAAAAGAAATAGGCTTGCGGAGCATAGAAATAATGCACATAGTGTCTGGCTCGTGGTCACGCTTCCTGAAAGGATGAGCTAGTGCTTATGTTTTTTTGTGGTCAGAGTTGTTCATACATAAATTACCTGCCGGAGAAGAGGTTAGCGAGGGTACCTCTTAACTTGACAGATTAAAAAATGATTATTCTAATGCTTCTTTTATGTAATTATTTCTCACTGGAAGCAGTGTCTTTTCTGCTTTATAGATATCATTGAAATGGATTCAAAGCGTGTGCCTCGAGACAAGTTGGCCTGCATCACCAAGTGCAGCAAGCACATCTTCAATGCCATTAAGATCACCAAGAATGAGCCAGCCTCAGCTGATGACTTTTTACCAACTCTCATCTACATTGTCTTGAAGGGCAACCCCCCACGCCTTCAGTCCAACATCCAGTATATCACCCGCTTCTGCAACCCAAGCCGATTGATGGCTGGGGAGGATGGCTACTATTTCACCAATCTGGTGAGTATTTGATTTCCTGGAGTTAACGGAGAGGAACCATGAAGGTACTTATTGTAGGGATGTGACAGATCACTCACAGGCCTGTGACAGTTTAATGCCTCAGCATAGCTGAGGATGCTTGCTTGGTGTCACAGAGCGCACGTGACCACGCCATGCGAACACCCCACCTCTTGGTGCTTGACCAGAGATTGTGGTCCTCTTACGGAAAACCTGATAGTCACATGGAGGAGTCTCTGCTGCTCTTAGCCATCACTCCCCCAGGTCCTGGGTAAAAGGGCCATTCACTTAGTTGGGTTAACCATGAATGAATCAGATCATGGATTTTGATTTATTAAAAGACTTAGGAATTATTTTTTGTTTTATTTCTATAAGTGATCTCTTAGAACTGAATACTGAGATTTTAAAAGGGTCGGTTTAGAGGATGTAAAATGATTTTCAAGTATTGTTAACAGTGCTAATTGATTCTTGGTAAGACAGTATTAAAGTATGTATGTCTAAGTAGTAAGGCTGAATACTTCCTTTTACTGACCACTGAACTTTTGTTTGTTTGCTTTAGACTAGATTTACTAATGAATTTGAGCATCAAAACACCGTATATGCTTTCTTTCCTGTGTTGGAAGTTGTACAGGGTAATAGGGAGAGGAAGCAAGGTTACATAAGGTAGTGTTTCTAGTAAATTGTCTAAAAAGACGGTACTTCAATCTTCAAGGCTTCCAGAAATTTGTTGTGATTTATTTTTACATCCTAAATACGTATTCACCTTTGTACCTAATTTTATATTGTGTTTTCCTTTAAGTGGGTTCCCAAAAGTCTATAAGCTTCGGTCCCTCAAAACCTGGACCTGCCCCTGTCACTCGTCACCCTCAGCCATTGGGTTCAGCTGCTCGACTTCGGAGTGCTCTTTTTTCAGGTTTTCATTTATATTCCAGTTAGTTAACATACAGTGTAATATTAGTTTCAGGAGTAGAATTTAGTGATTCATCATCATACAATACCCAGTGCTCATCACAAGTGCCCTCCTTAATGCCCATCACCATTGAACCCATCCCAGGAATGCTTTTTTTCAAAATGATGCTTGCACCATTATTTGCAGTATTTTTCATCCTTCCAGACACGTGCTTGTTTAAATTATACTCCCCCAAAACGTTTAAGTGGCTGAAGTACTCATTTCTTAACATAAGTGAAACATGCTCTTGACTGCTAGAGAAGAGCCTTTTGGATTTAGTTCTTAATCTAGGGAAATCAGACAATCTGCAAATCCCTGAGAAGTACGGAGATGGAGACACGGCTGGTAGTAGAAGAAATGAGCAGGACCCAGAGGTGTAGCCCTTGTGGTCAGCAATGGAGGCTGCTGGGTCGCCTCATCCTGCAGCTTCCCAGAGCCGTGACCTACAGCCTTAACTATGTTTGCACCTTATTTCTCCATCTTCTCGTCTGATTCAGAGTCTAGCTTCTACTCCTACTGCTTCAGTGAAACTGCTCTGGCAAAAGTGAAAATCTGCCAGTTGTTCGATCCCATGAAAACTCTCGGTCTTCATCTTACTTCTTTAACACTCTCGATAACTCCTTTGTTCTGGAACTTCCTATGTTTTTTGAATTCCACAATGCCACTCCTTCCTTGTCTCTTTGTAGGCTTTGTGTCCTCTGCTTCCCCTTGAATTGTGTTACTCCCTAGGGTTCTGTCCTCTGCATTCCTCTCCCTCGGCTGTGTCCTCTGGTCACAGCTCCACTGTCACCTGGACGGTGATGATGCACAAGCTCATGTCACCTGTTTTGCCCTCACACTGAGCTCCACTCCCAGCTATTCATTATGCCTCAAATGTAATTTTTCTTTTTCTTTTTCTTTTTTTTAAAGGTTTTATTTATTTATGTATTAGAGAGAGAGAGAGAGAGAGAAACAGCATGAGAGGGGAGAAGGTCAGAGGGAGAAGCAGGCTCGCCGCCGAGCTGGGAGCCCGATGTGGGACTCGATCCCAGGACTCCAGGATCATGACCTGAGCCGAAGGCAGTCGCTTAACCAACTGAGCCACCCAGGCGCCCTCAAATTTAATTTTTCAAAACTAAAACTGCTTCCCGGAACTTCAGATGGTTTTCTCTTTTCTAACATAGACTGTTTCCACTTGTAGCAATAGCGTATATCCATGCCAGGAGTGCTAGAATCTTAGATGCCTCCTCTCTCCAGGTCGCAGGGGCTGCGCACTTCCACAGATACGGTGCGAGCCTGTGTGGAGGGGTCACATGGGCCCCTTCTCATCACATGAGTCACTTGCAGTAGGTTTGTGAATACTCCTTAAAGAGAGTCCCTTTTTTATGAGCAATAATGGAGGATCCTGGGAATGAGCTTCTCAGAAGAAGTTCCGAGAGCTGCCTGTTTTCCTCTGTTTATATTGCATGTCTTGTGAAAATGGCTTTTTTAAAAAATGTGAGGGCCTGGCTCTGTCAGTGGAGCATGCAACTCTTGATCTCGGGGATATGGGTTCGAGCTCCATGTTGGGTATGGAGATTACTTAAAAAACAAAAATAAAGGGCGCCTGGGTGGCTCAGTTGGTTAAGCGACTGCCTTCGGCTCAGGTCATGATCCTGGAGTCCTGGGATCGAGTCCCGCATCGGGCTCCCTGCTCGGCGGGGAGCCTGCTTCTCCCTCTGCCCCTCCCCCCCTCATGTGCTCTCTCTCTCTCTCTCATTCTCTCTCTGTCAAATAATAAATAAAATCTAAAAAAAAATAAAATAAATAAAAATAAATAAAAATGAATAAATAATAAAAATGTGAAAATTAATTTTCCTTATAGAAAAATTAAATCCGTATAAGAAAGTAGAGCTAACAGATGTCTGCTCAACTTGAGCATTTGCCCAAGGATTTCTGTACTAGTAATTGCTCCCATTTATTCATTGCTTGCTGCTGACCTGTGAGCTAAGTACGTTACATGTGCTGGACTGTTTAGTTCTCACTATAAATCTGGGTGGTATTTCCCGTTTTACAGATGCCGGAACCTCAGAGAGCATGGGTAACTTTCCTAGGCTCACAGACTCTTAGGCTATCCTGTGACAGAGGTGACAACTCAGGTTGCCTGATTTCAAAGCTTATATTCTTTTAACCATCTGATGTTAAAGGACCGATGGTCCTTTGAGGACCAGAGGTCTGTGTGCCACAGCAGTCCCTGAAGATGCGCCTGGTAGCTGCCGTGCCCTGGGTGAACGCTGTGGGACTGGCTGGACCTCAAGAGGGAATGGCTTTATGGGGCATGTTCCCGAGGCACATGGGATTGTGATTCCTGTGCCCTGAACGCGGCCGGGAGGCAGAGAGCCCTGGAGTTTGGGGAATCGTTCAGGTTTGTCCACGGGAAGCTCTGTAGTAGCCGGTGTGGAACAGACCAAAGGTGCCTGCTCTAGCGTTCACTCTGTACGAGACTCTGCGCCTGTGAACAACCCAAGGAGAGGACTGAATTTCTGACAGACTCAGTGGGAATCGGCAGTGTGACTTTTTTTTTTTTTTTTTAAGGAAGAAATGTACTGTTTCAGATGGGAGTATAAAGGAAACATGATTGGCTAGGAGTTGGTAATTTTTGAAGCTGAAGTTCATGGTGGGTCATTCAACTGTTGTGTCTACTTTTTGATTCTATTTTAAATTTACCATAATAAAAGGATTTAAAAATATATATTTGAATATTTGAAGCTTTCCTCATGTGACTATAGTAAATAACATTCTGGGTTTTTTTTTGTAGTGCTGTGCTGTGGCTTTCATTGAGAAATTAGATGCTCAGTCTTTGAATTTAAGTCAGGAAGATTTTGATCGATACATGTCCGGCCAGACTTCTCCCAGGAAGCAGGAATCTGAGAATTGGTCTCCTGATGCTTGCTTAGGGGTTAAGCAAATGTATAAGAACTTGGATCTTCTGTCTCAGTTGAATGAACGGCAAGAAAGGATCATGAGTGAAGCCAAGAAACTTGAGAAAGACCTAATAGAGTGGACGGATGGAATTGCAAAAGAGGTTCAAGACATTGTTGAGAAATACCCGCTTGAAATTAAACCCCCAAATCAATCTTTAGCAGCTATTGACTCTGAAAATGTTGAAAATGATAAACTTCCTCCACCTTTGCAACCTCAAGTTTATGCAGGATGATAAAAATTTACATGGGTAGTATTTATTTGAGCCTAAATTGTAGCTAGCCCTTACTACAGTCCATGATTGGGACCTAGACTATAACTTAATTGCTTATAAATGTCAGAGCATTTTTCAAGGTACAGTTTGTGGGGATTGTTTTGTTTGTTTTGTTTTTCCTGGCAGGGGAAGCTTAGTAAATAATAAAATACTATTTATTTGAGTTACTGAAATAGATTCATTTAAGGTTTATGTGAAAGTTTTGTCTAAATCTATTTTTTCTCCATGATTTTCCTGTGTGCTTCCTCTTTGGCATTCACTGTGGTTTGGTTTTGGGTAAATACTTGCCTTTAAAGGATAAAACAGATGAATGCTACAAAATGTATGTTTAAGGGGATTCAGTGGTACCACTATTCTACAGTTTGAAATATTTTATAATTGTAAAGATAGAAGATATATTGATAAGTAAATATGTAAAATTGTAAATATGTAAAAACAAAAAAGGAATGGTGTCTGCGTTGCATGGCATTTCATGTGTTAATTTGTTTAGTTTAAAATGAAGTATATTGAATGTTTGCCTTTAACTCCATTTTATTTGGTTTGCCCCCACTTAAATGAATCTAGAAGTGTTTAGACATAATCCCCTTAAAATCTCGACTCCATTTTTAACCATTGGTTAGCCCTGACTTGGGTTCTGTACAGTTAGAGACCGTGACACCATTGAGCTTCAGAATAATTTTTCGGTCACATAAAGTTGCAGTTCAGGATAGTCATTTGAAGACTTGGAACCATGCTTCTTGCACCTTTTTCCTCCACTCATTCACGAAATACTTATAGAGTTCTTTATAAAGGAGCTGGTCCTGGGTCTGGATCAGAAGATAGGAATGACCAGGACTCCACTGGGGGGAGCCGATGGGGGATCCCTCCGAGCTCCGACGTGCGCAGGTGCCTTTCTGCCTCTGGGCGAACTTCTGACTTGATGGACAGCCGGACACGTGTCCTGTGAACCTCTGCCAGGGCTTCTCAGCCTCAGTACTCCCGACACTGCAGCCTGAGGGTCTTTCGTTACCAGGGCTTCCCTGCGCACTGTAGGATGTTTAGCAGTATTCCTGGCTTCTCTACCCACTAGACACTAGTGGCAGCCCCCAGAGGTGTGAAAAACAATCTCCACACATTGCCAAATATTTCCAGGTTGGGGGGGGCGGCAAAACCGCCCCCAGTTAAGAGCCCCTGATCTGTTTTGTAAGTGAGGAAGTTATCCTCGTGGTGGTTAATGTGATGTAACCAAAGAATATTGCATTAAATGCACCGTCCAGTTAACTGGTAGTCATTGAAGCTTTACAGTCACTGGTACTGTGGAACCTGTTCTAATGCTCATGGAACCCTTCGCAACCTAAGCAGGCCACGTACGATCCTCCTTCCAGTCAGTGATTTCTGCAGATTACCAGTGGGCCTGGGAAACGGTGCGTAATGACAGGGCACCACTCTGAAACAAGGTCACGTCACAAGCAGTTAGGAAGGTTTCTTTGCTTTCCCAATACTGTCCTAATAGTGTACCACAAATTTATAGTGCAATACTTTTGGAATAAAACTAGGGTGAGTATAAAACTTTTTATCCTTAAATTTACACGTACAAGCGCATCAGGTTGACACAGCTGTTGTCATAAAGCACTGAAGACGTGATGAAGCAGTGACCCGAGTCCCCGATCACCGAGCTCACGTGGAGTGCAGTGAGTTACTGTCAGATACCAGTGAGAATCTGCACTTAGAAACCCGGCCCCAAGTGATTTCCGTAGAAGACGGTCCCCTTTTTCCTTTGTTCTTTTCTATGTACTCTCTAGGTGCTAATCCAGGTACACACACTCTTAATTCTCCTGGGAATATACAGTTCTTTTAGTCGTTGTACACTATATTTGTTAAATAAAATGTGCATATCGGCCTCCCACAAAGCTGTCTTCTTTTGATTTCTTACATATCGTTAGAGTAAGTTGTTGAATTGATTTGTTTATCTCATATTAATTGAATTCTTTAGATATGAACTCTTGCCTGAGGTAGAAGCTTATATTTCTCTTAGGTCAGCTTCAGTACTATGGCCACAGTTTCTGTCTTCTCAACAAGAATGTATTGCTATTTTATGTACTATAAATGTAACTGGAATAAACCTTTGGAACAGAAGTCCATATTAATAAGGTGTCATCATCCATCCCTCTTCCAAATAGATTGATTTTTAGTTCCTTAGGAAAATTACATTACCAACATTCTTAGGTTACAAAGTTTTCCTGTTTAGGCCACAACCATCATTACCATTACCATTCCAAAAAGGAAATATTAGAGACATTCCAGTTAAAATTAAGAACAAGAGAAGGATGTTTGCTGTTACTACTATTCGCATTATTCTGGAAGTTTTACCCCAGGTACTCAGTCTTCAAACAGAAATAAAGGGGGCTTAATCTTTTTTTATTTATTTTTTATTTTTTAAAAAGATTTTATTTGTTTGAGAGAGAGGGCATGAGCAGGGGGAGTGGTGGAGGGTGATGGAGAAGCAGACTCCCTGCAGCAGGGAGCCCGAGGCGGGACTCCATCCCAGGACCCTGAGATCATGATCTGAGCCGAAGGAAGACGCTTGACGGACAGCCACCCAGGCAAAGGGGGCTTAATCTAATCTATATAGAAATGTTCTAGCCTCGGGGCACCTGGGTGGCTCAGTCGTTAAGCATCTGCCTTTGGCTCAGGTCATGGTCCCACGGTCCTGGGATCCAGCCCCGCATTGGGCTCCCTGCTCCCCGGGAAGCCTGCTTCTCCCTCCCCCACTCCCCCTGCTTGTGTTCCCTCTCTCGCTGTGTCTGTCTCTGTAAAATAAAATCTTTAAAAAAAAAAAAATGTTCTAGCCTCATGATAGAGGACGTGAACTCGAGCTAGGAGGCTTGGTGTTGGTTTTGAGTTTGGCTGCCATTTAGGTAATACCTCTTTGGCCTTGGGCAAGTCTCTCATTTTTCACATCCCTAATTTGTGAATTGGGGATAATAATTGTGCCTACTTCAAGGGCTTGTGAGGATTAAATGACTTGCAACAGTACCTAGGAATGCTAAGTGCTCAAGTGATAGCCATTATTTATAGTTGATTCTTCTATGTAGAAAACCCAAGAGAACTGATATTGAAACATTAAATTTCACTAAAATGGTAAGATAGAAAATGCTAGGCATAGCCATCAAAAATAACTACAAAATGACTTTTCTGTATTTCATTACTAGCCAGTTAGCAAATACAATGGGAAAACTTATTCGATACAGAAACCTATAAATCAAGTAGCAAGAGCTTTTAGGATTTATATGGAAAAAATATAAAATTGAGAAACAAAAAATAGACATACATAGGGCCTATGCTCAGAAGTTCCCTGCACTTGGGCTTTAATGTTCTATCTCTGCATTCTTGGAATTTTTTTTTTTTTTTTAGATTATTTATTTGAGAGAGAGCACGAGCAAGGGGAGGGGCAGAGGGAGAGGGAGAAGCAGACTCCCCCTGGGGAGGAAGCTTGATGTAGAGCTTGATCCCAGGAGCCTGAGATCATGACCTGAGCCAAAGGCAGATGCTTAACCAACTGAGCCACCCAGGCTCCCTGCCATCTTGGAGATTCTATTTTATCATTGAATTTGTGTTTTTAAGTCAAGTCTGATGGGACAGTGGAGCATGCACAGTGGGGCTTAGAGCCTTAGCTCATTCATAATCTCGCTTCTCACCACCCTCCAAGGACGAGCTCTTGGTCTTACCCCTCCCACCCTATGACCACTCTACCAGGGCCTGGGCACTCAGGAATGGTCCGAGCTGGGTGTGCATGCTTGGGGCGTTGGACCAGGACATGATGGTGCAACTGATGGTTAGCTGGCTGAGTGCTGCATCTTGGCCAGTTGGGGGGTGGGGAGGAGCTTCACTCACCTTTTCTCCAGCATGCTCCATGGATAAAAGGCTGACTCCAGATAAGTTAAAAAATAAGGAAAATAAATCTTTGGTCCGAAAGCAAGAAAGTAAGAAATTAAGCCACCTAGGTGGCTCAGTCAAGTGTCTGCCTTTGGCTCAGGTCATGATCCTGGGGTCCTGGGATCGAGCCCCACATCGGGCTCCCTGTTCGGCGGGGAGCCTGCTTCTCCCTCTGCCTTCCACTCTCCCTGCTTGTGTGTGCTCTCTCTCTGACAAATAAATAAATAAAAAATCTAAAAAAAAAAAAAAATTTAAAACTTTTGTGCTTCAAAGGACAGTAATAAGAGAGTGAAAAGACAACCCACAGAACGGGAGAGAGAAATTTTTTTTTAAAGATTTTATTTATTTATTTGACAGAGAGACACAGCGAGAGAGGGAACACAAGCAGGGGGACTGGGAGAGGGAGAAGCAGGCTTCCCGAGGAGCAGGGAGCCCCATGTGGGGCTCAATCCCAGGACCCTGGGATCATGACCTGAGCCCAAGGCAGACGCTTAACGACTGAGCCACCCAGGTGCCCCAAAGCTGTACATATTTAATGTGCAACTCGATGAGTGAGGATAATTATACATCTGTGAAACCATCACCAACATCCAGGCCATAGATATATCCATCACTTTTCAAAGTTGCCTCTTGTCCTTTTTTATTATCATTAACTTGTGCATGTGTGTGGGGGGGATAGTTTCTACCCTCTTAGAAAAATTTAAAGACATAGTATTGTTAGCTATAGGCACTGTGTTGTATAGTCGATCTCCAGAACTTACTTATGTTGCCTACTTGAAGTTTTGTATACTTTGGCCATCACCTCTCCATTCCTTCTTCTCCCAAGCCCCTAGAAATCACTGTTTTACAAGAGAATATAGTTGCAAATCATATACTTGATAAGGGTTACATACCCAGAATATATATAAAATACTCCTACTACTCAACAACAATTAAAAAAAAAAAAAGCCAGCAACCCAATTCAAAAATGTACAAAATACTTGAATAGCTATCTCCAAAGAAAATACACAAGTACCCATAAGCCCATGAATAGATGCTCAACATTAGTAGTCATTAGATAAAAGCAAATCAAGGGGGGACACCTGGGTGGCTCAGATGGTTAAGCGTCTGCCTTCGGCTCAGGTCACGATCCCAGGGTCC